GCAGGACCTGGCCGATCTTGGCATAAAGATCCGAGACAATGGAGTCATTACACTTCTTGCTCTCAGGATCCTTATCTAAAAGAGCCACCCCTGCCGAGAGCCGACCAGCACCCCTGGGAAACCCCTTCAAGTACGCACCAAATGCGAACGGGATTTGCGTCCTGGTGTAATCATCCTTGATGATGGAGAATTCATCAGAGGATTTGAATGATTCCCGGACAGCGGATAGATCCACATTTACCTCATATGGGCCGTCCGGGATGCTAGAGGGCATCTCCTCAAATTTGATCTGTGCGGCCTCGACAACGAGGACCTTGGCTCGGGAAGCAGCAAGTTGGACCCATAGGGTACCAAGCTCAGTATCCAGCTTCTGTTTTTCCTCCGCAAAAGCTTTCCATTCGGCCTCTAGAGATGTGATGGCGGCAGCAGCAGTTTGCTCAGTAGAGGACTGAGCAACGATCAATTCCCGTTCCTTATCCAGACGGGCTTGCCGCATTTGCAAAGTATACAATCCCATCTACAAAGCGCCGTTCGAAAGTTAGTAAATGATTACAAAGAATAAAATGGGAACGAAGCACAAAAGATAATATACCTTCAGTGCAGTCAAGGCCAGACACTCTTCGGATTGTTCGACCGGCAGTTGGGGAAGAGAGAAATTGTTAAACCATGAGGATGTTGACCAGATCTGGCTCGCGGAAGAACCAACTCTCTCTAGCACCTCATGAACAGGATCCGACAAAGAGATCCGTTCGACCTGACCAGTGATATGGTCGGTATGAATCCCGCCTACGTTCGAGGTTGCGCCCTGAACGGAATCAAAGTGTTGGGTAAACTGGTGCAGCTGATCAGAACCAAATCGGTCATCAATCATCATGGCATCATACTGATCCTGACCAGAAAATTGCTGAATAGGCTCCGGTTGCTGAACGGCCGGTGCATGTTCGGGTTGTGGAGCAGTAGTGGTGGGTGAATCAACTTTAGGATTTTTCTTCATTTTCTTCTTCCTCTTCCCGACCCCGCCAGCAAAAAGCACACGGCTGTCATCCATAGTGGCGTCTGGATTTGGAGCTGAAAAATGACAAAGGAAAATGTTAGTACCGAGCGGCCTTAGCATGTGAGAAACTAGAAAAAAGAAGAGAACGTTTCTCGCACGGGAAGGACCCCCCGGACCATGACACTTGAGTCTCGAAAACAAGTAAACCCAAGAGAACGGGCAGTACCTATCCCAGCTTTAACAAGCCGATCGGGAGTCAGGTAGGTCATGATATTGCAACACTTGTCTTTTTCCACAGCGAGTACATCCTTATAAATTTCTTCAGTAAGAACTGGATCGGGAGTTTTGCGAGGGAAGGCGTTCCATTTACGAGGGATCAGCCCGTCCGGGACAGACACAAAGAAGAACCTATCTTTCCATCCCTTGATTGAGGTTGGATTGCCCTTGAATAGAATATGGCCCGTTCGAGAACTAGCGGCTAGATACCCATGAGTTTGTTGGGGGGCTACTTTAAAAAATTGATGGAATAAATCTAGGGTCGGTGAGGCACCGACATCTTTGCAACGACAAATAAAGCCCGCCATTGCCCGATAGGAGTTCGGCATGACTTGGGCAGGTACAATTTCATAAAAATTAAAAAATGAGACAAAAAAGGAGTGTAACGGAAATCTAAGCCCAGCCCTAACTGAATCGAAATGGACAACGACCATCTTGGGGGCGTGACGCAGGGGATGAAGCCCAGCTTGCAATCGGAAGTCCACTGGGTCTGGGATTAGGGCCGGAATTTCGGCCCTATTATTAGCAGTCAACTTTTGTCGTCTTGCCCTAATTAAACCTATGTCGAGTGTGTGACGGGGGACATCGTTTGGCCGTCCAGCCGCCATTAAATCTATTTCATCCTCAGACTTCGTGCCATCAGAGCTTTCACCGGAGGAAGATGAACTGCTAGGAAGGTCCTCCGCCTCCGCCCTAGTGTTTGTCACCGTTTCAGTGGAACCACCGGCGAATGGGACTGTAATGACGTCCACAATGGCAGCATCACGGTCATCCCTATGAGAGGCCATCTCCGAATCAGGGGAATGCGGTTGAGAACTCATCTTGACCGAGCCAGAAATGAGGCAAGAAAGTAGAGGGAGGGAAAGTACCTGAACAACGAAAGCTTGAAAAAATTTCAGAGAAAGCAATGATGCGAAGGAAATTGCAGAATCGAAACCCGGAATTGAAAAGTTAAAGGCTGATTTATAGCCTTAAAACCGCCGTATCGAGGACCAATCATGGAGCGACACGCCACTAGGACAATTTAAGCTAAACGCATGTATAATGAATAGACTAACGACGGTAATCATGATGAATATGGGGAAAATAAAACGACAGCCGTCAAATCATAGTATGGGGAACTGACCACTTCTGTACCCTGATCGCCATTCGGCAATTGCAACATTGGTGTTCATACTTCCTAATGCACTCACTGTCATTCGAGACATCGGAAGTGGGGGACTTGTGTTGGGATATTGACCCAGAGGCCCAATACCCGGATTAAAAAGGCCCAGGATACCCGACCCAAACAATGAGTCCATTACCCTATGATGAGTAGATCCAGTGAAGAATCCATACCGAACGGGGTTCGGTCCGAGTAAAGGCCGGCCCAGAAAGAAGAGATACCGAACGGAGTTCAGACCATACATTATACTTGGGCCAATTTGACAGCGTCATCCGCATAGTCCAGCATCCCGTTCGAGCAACGGGCAACTAGCAAGTGGCCAGGTGCAATTAATGCCAGATTGTGACATCGGCAAGTGGAAACATGGATGATCAAGTCGGTGGAACAACGGCCAATCAGCATAGAGCAGCTCATGCTCTCCATTAGTATAAATAGAAGGTTTAATATCATTGTAAGGGTTAGACTTTCAATACTCAAGCTCTAGAATAGCATTATTACTCTTGTTTCCTGTATTAAAAGCACTGTTCCGACCTACCGATCGAGAAGTTTTCTTGTAATCAGACAGGTTAATTAATACAAGCGGGCTTTTGAGTATTAGTGGATTCATCTTTTATATTTTATTATACACTTTGATTCTGATCCATTCCTGATATATCCAAAGTTCGTGTTGGGCTTTCGGATCTACGGGACTTACCTTCAACACTACCATTTCACTCTCAACTTGTTAATTTTCTTTAGAAATTGAGTATTTGTAGTTTATTTAAATTTCTGCCACAATTTTCAGCACATTTCATCTTCATCCAAGTCCCAACTTCCGCTTCTTCATCTAATAGAAGCTCCTCTTCTGCGGTACTGCCTTTATGTTCCTTCCTCCTTCTCTTGCGGTTTCATTGTTTCTTTGTTTAATGTTTTTTTTTTGTGAATTTTCTTCTAATATTTGTTGCTCCTCTTCTAGTTTCCGCATTTAAGTATGTTCTGAAAACAAAGAATAAGAGTACACATGAATATGTTTTCAAGGTTCCTTTTGGAAAGTTTTCAGCTTTTTTATGTTTTTAAAATTCAATACATTATTTGGTTAATTTCTAAACCGATTACCTCATTATGATGACTGTATGTTTGTATATGAAATGATTGCATGACAACATGAGTAAGACTTCCTGGTGCTCAAATTAAAATTCAGTCTAGTATGTACACTTGGGAAAACACATCTACTTTTGTATGCCTTGCTGCTTTGAGAGCTCAAAATCTATGCAATCTGTAGAAATATACTTGGTTGTATACATTAGTTGGTTAACTATTTTGCCCCCACATATCAGTGGTTAATAATTATATTTTTTGAATAGTCTATCTTGTTTGAGTTGGTCCTTTTGTCTTTGTGTTCACATATCAGGTATGAATATGCAAATAGATAGGTCTTGGATTAGGGATGGAAACAGATTGTCTCCAGAATATATAAAAGGGGTGAATGATTTCATTCATTGTGCTATACTTAATTCTGCCAATCGTAGGTCAATTAGATGTTCATGCAAAACTTGTTGCAATATGGACTTTCAATCCCCTGAAAAAATCAAAGTCCATTTATTCAAAGTGGGCTTTGTGGAATCATATCTTGTTTGGACTAAGCATGATGAGGTTGAAAAAAATCCAACACCTAATACCTCATATTCACAATTTCATGACCACAACCAAGTTGAGGACATGTTAGGGGATATTTATGACCAGTTAGACAATAATCCGAAAAGGTTTAGGGATGTGGTTGAAGATGCTGAGAAACCACTTTACCCAGGTTCAAGTTATTCAAGGTTGTCTGGGGTGATGTTATTATTTAACATCAAAGGAAAATATGGGTGGTCTGATCAAGGGTTTACATCTTTATTAGAAGCACTTAGTGACATATTGCCTTCACATAATTCCATTCCCATATCAATGTATGAGGCTAAGAAAATAATGAAAGTCTTAGGATTAGATTACCAAAAAATACATGCTTGTCGGAACGATTGCATCCTCTTTCATAAACAACACACCGATCTTGATAAATGTCCTAAGTGTGGGGAGAGTAGGTTTAATGAAAAAAAGAACGGAGCTATAAATAATAGCCATAGAGTTCCTGTGAAAACATGACTTGACATGTCACCGATCGAGTGAAAAATGGTAAACTACGCCATCCAGCTAACTGTGCAGCTTGGCAGCACATTGATTAAATGTGGCCAGACTTCAGTGAAGAATATAGGAATCTCAGATTGGCTTTGTCAAGTGATGGAGTGAATCCACATAGCTCACTTAGTTCTAGATATAGTTGTTGGTCAGTCCAGTTAGTCATTTATAATCTTCCACCTTGATTGACCATGAAAAGAAAATTCATGATGTTATCTCTATTAATATCTGGTCCAAAACAACCCAGAAATGATATAGATGTCTACCTAGAACCATTGGTTGATCTCACTTAGTTCTGCTCTTTTTTAAAGTAGAACAAAATCAGAATCAGTTTTCAGAGGTTGGTATCCCCCAGCTTCTAAAAAAACTGATTCTGAGAGTAAATTAGACCACAAAGATGTGCTTATAGAATTTCACCCAAATACTTCGCCTTCTCCTTCTTCTCCCTCCAGAATCAGTTTTGAGAATCATCAATGCCCCCATAGTTTTAAGTTTTATGGCATGATCAACCAACAAAGATGAAAGATGATCCTAAAGCTAGAAATGACTTTATTCATCTAAAGATAAGGAAAAGTTTGATTCCAGAAGAAGTGAGGTGAGGTGAATTTTTCAAAAAAAAATTCAAAAAAGGTGAGGTGAGTTCGTGCTACGGCGAGTCGAATCGTCGAAGCAGTCAAGTCGAAGTCGAGACCTGCTGCCACTCACGGCGGGTGGCTTTCTCCGCTTCGTTGGAAAGCTTAAATCGGCTGAATTGCCTCCAAAATACTATATTTCTTTTCCACAGACAGCAGTGCCCTACTGCCCTGCGCCCCTCACCCGATTCCGAGTCCCGCGCTGCGCGGCTGCTCCATCCGGCCTTCCCCTGCCTGCTCGCTGAGTCGGTCTTCTGTATTTTAGGTATGTGTTTTACTTTTAGTTCAAGTATGTATTTTACTTTTATTTAGTTCAGCTTTATGCCTTTATTTCTGGAATATGAGAGTTTTGTTGATGTGATGTGTGAATTCAGAAAGATTGCTCCCTAGATTTCTGGAATTTAATTGTTGTGAATTTTCAGGCTGTTGTGAACCCTAAATTCAGCTTTAGTTCGCGGAATTGTGATCTGTTGTTTAATGTGAATATTGTGACTTGCTTGAGTTCAGCTTTAGCCCTTTAATTCGATACAGTTCAGGTTGTTCTTATGATTTGTGAATTCTGAATTCTGGGCTATCACTAGATTGTTTACTAAGAGTGCCTAGCTTCTGCATATGCACTTGACCAATTCTAAATAACATTGGGGGTTCATCTAAGGATTCTCAGTAAACTATGCGTGAATAATACTGGTCTTTGGGCAATTGTTATGTATTCTTCCTCTACCATATGGTGAATGTAACTAGAGATGTTACTGGTGGGAAAATTTGTGTAGGAAGTGCTGGTCAGGGAGACTAGATGAGTAACACATGCCAAAGTCTATTTTTTTCAATTCCTCGCGGGATGGATTTTCATGGTTTTAGCCCTTTAGATTCTTTCTGATTACTAAAATTTTTAAAAATGAGTAGCCAAATCAATCTGTTTTATTAATATACTACCTCCGTCCCACTAACATTGGGACATGAGAGGTAGCACGGTTATTAAGAAAAGTGAGTTTATGTAGTTGATATTGAATTAACAAAGCAAGAATAAAGTAAATGAATTAGAGCCACACAAACTTTACCAAATTTTGTATGGGACAATCTTAGTGGGATTTCCGGAAAAGGAAAAATGGGACAATCTTAGCGGGACGGACGAAGTAGTATGCAAGGTTACCATTTAGGTGGTGTTTGGAAATCAACCTTTCAACCACCTTTTGACTTTCTGGATTGACTTTAAGTGCGACAAGTAGCGATAGTAGATCATGGTTGTGTATCTCATTGTAGTAATAGACAAAGAACAGGAAGCATCTAGTTTTGAGACCATCTTTTTTTTTTAGATTAATGAATGGTTTCAAATCTAAATGCATTTTTTCTTTGTTCATTTGATTAAGTATCAGCTTCGTTATCATTCTTTAACGTCAAATTATCTTTCTTATTATAATTTTTTTACTAAGTATCAAGTTTAAGACAGTTTCCATGCTTACATTAAATATTTGTATGATTTAATACGGACCTTTTGATTGTCTTCCTGGCTCTTCACATGTATTATTTTCATTTTTTCATCATTTTCTCCTCAGTTTTCCTGTCAGGAGAAGGTATAAAATTATAAATGCATAAGGAGTACCGAGTTTGTCATTTCTTTCCTTTTTCTTGCTATAATCACATTTTAAATAAAAAAGGATGAACCACATCCCCAACTGCCCCAGCACCATTCTGTTAACTGAGTGGATGTGACTATAGTCATTTTATGTATAGGACTATAGGAGGCTTTATAACCTCAAGGGATAGCCACTTCCATAATCAAAATTTGTAACTACTACTTTGTGCTTCATAATTAGTTCTGTAGTTAGTTTGCTATCCTGCGCAATGCATGACTAAAAGACTAATGTCTCAGTTAACTAGGTTAAATGGAAACTCTTTAGGAGTGGTTAGATGTATACTTGAACGTCTAGTTTTTTACATTGTTGCATCTAAAATTTTCATGGCATTCTATGCGCACCCGAGCCATAACCTTGATGTCCTATTTTCTGTTTCTCCCCCTTTATATCCTGCTACACTTAATTCATGGTAGAGGTGAAGTGTTATTTCTGAATTCCTATTCATTATGGTGGAAGCAGCCAACCAGGCCTTCTTCAAATTTTTAAAATTTGTTTACCTACTTTTGTTTTATACTTTATCACTCACTTCACTTATTTGGGTTTCTTTGTAGGATCAGTACTTTCCACATCAGTGTATGACTTATTAGCCAAGGGGATGGCTGAGCGGCAAGCTATTGACCAGCCTGTTCTAAAGGATGATATGATTGCCTGTGTCATGGCTCTAGAAGTTGCATTGCTTCCGTGCCTACCTGCCAGAGAACTCCAAGCAATTGACCGTTCTGCTCATCCTTATCACCAGAGTCAGTAAATCCAACTCTATTCCTCTATGTAAATGCCCTGTCAATTTTATTTGAACCAGATGGAACAAAATTATGAAATAAGAATATTATGCTGGTTAGTCAAGTGTGGAAACTTTATTTGGACCTTGTCAGAAGAAGATAAATTCACAGAGTATAGAAACTTTAGTTATATTTGGATCGAGTGTCTTGGAGGGGAACTGGGGAAGGCATCATTGGATTTTACCTTTTGGTATATATTTGAGATTTTATAAAAAATGATCGACTCTAATATGATATGCTGTCGTATAACATTTCCATTACCTATTATTCATTTTAGAAACATTTTTCGTCAACTATTCAAAGCATCCGTCTCCAAGTCCTTCTTATATCTCCATGCAAATAGACCTTTGGTTTAAGTACAGCATGCATCTCAATTTATGTAAATCCTTTTCATTTTCTAGTTACATCTTCTCCGACAATGTGCCTTTTATTCCATCAACCTTCTTGCTTGCCCAGTTGCACTGTTTCGGTGGGGAGGGAACTGTAGGGGTAAAATCTGTTTTACTAATTTATCAATATTTTATATTAGAAAATAAGTTCTCCTTATATTATTAGTTAAACAGTGCACTTCGTTATGGTTTCCCACTTTTATATTCATTTTAATCAACAAAGGTGGGAGTTAAATTATTAATAAAAAAAAATATCATTCCCCCTTCCCTGCCCCCAAACCATACAAGGGGCTAGTGATTTATGCTTCTATATAAATATGTAATTGCTCAACAAGGTGATTCTTTTATTTTTTTAGTTGATGTTGAGAGGCATGCTAGAGATTTTATGGACGCGGCAAAAAAGCTTCAACTTTTTTTTATTGGATTGCAACGTCAGGATCAACCAATCAGAGCAAGTTGTCTCCTAAAGGTAATTTGTTTATAACTCAGATGTGCCTCAATTGCCTCATTTCTTTTTGTTCAACTATTTACGACAATCTGTCTGTTCGAAAGATCCCTATCTAGATATGAGTCTTTATTTGGTCTCAAATGTTTGATTTACTTTATACCCCATGATATACCCCTATATTTGACATTGCACCACGAATTACTTCCTTCAATATTGCAACACAAAGCTAGCTGCCAAATTTGAATGCAAGCCATGGGGTGCAAAGTCTAACGGATGGGACACTCTGTGGAGGGCATCCGTGGATTATCAAAAGAATGACTTCCCTAGATTAGTTTCTCACTTATCATTTGTATTGATCCCATAATTGTCTTACCATTTCTTTTAAGGGAAAGAGTTGTGTTCTTTTTTATATTTTTCTTTGTTTTTTAAGTAACTCTTGACCTTATAATTTTTGTTCTCCTAGAAAGGGTACCAAAAGCATGACGGGAAGCTAATTTTAGGAATGAATAACAGGGTAAACTATTGGGGGAGCAAACTCAAAACTTTCTCATTTTATTTGACCCCACAAATGCTCCATCTTAACCCACTTTTGTCCCAACATTTGTGTTGGGGCCAGTCTGTGGTTCGCCAAGCACCTAGTCTACTATATTCTGATATGATTCATATGATGTATCTCTTGATAGGAGATTGCGACCATGGAAGAAGAGTTGAAAACGAAAAGGGAGATAGTAAGTAAGCATGAGAGACTTATACAAGAATGGAGAGAGCAATTGGGCAACCAATTGAATAAACACATCACTGAGTTGGAAAGGGTTTGAGAAAATGGGCTGAATTATATGCTTATGTAGTTATGTTAATCGACCCCAAATACTTTTGAAATTAAGGCTCAGATATCGTTGTTTGGTTTCTACTATGCAATCGAGTACCATGTCAATAATTTCCGTAGCACAATTTGATTGATCTGTTATGGACCGTCCTTAGCTACCAAGCGTTTATACTTTTCTTTTTAATGAATTAGTTAGGGTGTGTTTGAATCACCTTAAGTGAAATGGTAGGAACAAATGCAGAAGAAAATTATTTTCAAATGTTTGGCTTTACCTTCGACAGAAAATATCTATATATTTAACTTTTTTACTTTTATGGAGTTTTATTAAGTTAATAAAAAAGAAAGTACAAATGCTAGAGAAGAAAAACGCTAAAGAAGGAAAAATTAGAGAACAAAATAATGCTGAAGGGGGAAGAAAAAGGAATATCTATAGATATTTTCATAATAATCCTAATTTATTGGATTCGGCTGCTCCAAATTCTACCTTTAATGTCCTCCAGCCATGCTTTGGGTACGCTTGGTTTTTAATTCGTGTCTAATCTCTATTCCGTTAGTTTTGTATTGTATGTTTTTTAGTTGCTCTACATTCGTTTTTAATATCCATAATGTGAATATTTTTTGGCAAAACGATGTGCATATTTTCAATTTTAACATTTTCTCTTTTGATTAAATTTAGTCTTTAACTTTTTTGACTTTGAACTGCGGGGAGGGACTACTTTGATCCATGAGAACATGCAATAAATAATTTATATGCACTTTCGGTTTTGCTTTTTGGTCCTGACCTTTGATTGAAGTAAACTGATATATTCTTTATAAGTAGGGGTGGACTCGGGTCCGGGCCGGGTCCGGGTCGGGCCTAGGCCCGGGCGGGCCGGAGGTTCAGAAATGGTGGACCCGGGACCGGCCCGGGTAACCACCGGGTCCGGGTCCGGGTCCGGGCCGGGCCCATTATAATTTTTTTTTGTTTTCCACTTCCTAATTAACCCCCCTCCCACCCCCAACCCCCCAAACCACCCCAAATGGCCCAAAATACCCAGCCCAACCCGAAAATTTAAAAAAAAAATTAAAAAAAAAACAGGTTTTGGCCCGCAGCGGGCCCGGGCCCGGTCGGGTCGGGCCTTGTTTTGGGTGACCCGAGCCCGGACCGGAAAACCCACGGGCCGGGCCTACCCGGACCGGTCACTGACCGGGCCACCGGGTCGGGCCGGGCCGGAACAGTACCGGTCCCGGGCCGGTTCCGGGTCGGGCCACCCGGCCCGAGTCCACCCCTATTTATAAGTAAATGTAGGTAATATTGTTTTTATATGCAATAGCTAAAAATTAAATTAAATACTGATGTTCTTATATGTCTTTTTTACATGCAAACAACAATTCTCAAATAGCTAATTCAACAAGCATTTGCTGACAGTAGGAATGGACTCGGGCCGGTTCGTGCCCGGTTCGGGCCTGGGCCCGGCCGGGCCTCGGTTCTAGGAAGGCAGGCCCGGAACCGGCCCGGATAACCCCGGGTCCGGTTCGGTTCGGGTCACCCGCCCGGTTCACGGGCCGGGCCGCCCGGCGGGCCGGGCCGGGCCTATTTAATTTTTTTTTTAATTATTATATAATTAGAATAAATCTTATTACAATTACAATATATTATATTCGAATTGAAGTATATTTATTTCAAATAAGAAGTACAATTGAGAATTAGGATGAATTTAAAAAATGTAATACATTTTGTAATAAAAAATCAATCGGACTCTCCACCTTCGGTTGTTTCCTCCATAAAGTGGCGGGAGGGAGTGATGGTAATTTCTTGAGTTCTTCGTTGGGCCTTCAACCAATCGTGAAAGCAAACTAGTGTCTCAAGAGAGCTCGGGCTCAACCTCGTTCTAAAATCGGTTAGGACGTTGCCGGCCGCACTGAATTCTTGTTCCACGGCAACGGTTGATATCGGCATTGCTAGTACTTGCTTAGCCATCTTTGATAAAATCGGGAATGTTCTTTCATTTTCCTTCCACCACTTAAGAACGTCAAAGTCATCACCAACTTCATAATCAACATTCAATGTTAGATACAAAGAAAGCTCGTTACCTGAGCTTTGTTCAGTAGCGGGAGTTGCTCTACTTTTTTTCAAAAGAGAACCAAAAGCGGATTTTAAAAGTGATTTTCCTTTAGATGAAGAAGATGTTCGTTGCATGGGAGGGGGTGCATTACCATATTGTGCATGAAATTCATTATACAATTGATGAAATAAATTACTAACCTCGTTGAATTCTTGTTTAGGGTCGATGGGATTATCATCGAACTCTTGAGTTGGAAAAAAAGAAGCATAATAGTAATCTATACAATTTGCCAAGTAAGGAAGTTTATAACGAGGATCAAGAACAAATGCAATACCATATATATGCGGAATATGTGAATAATATTTTAAAAACTTTTGTTTCATGAAATCACAAAAATAACTAACGTAAGCGGCGTCGGAAAATTCACAAAAAGCGCCGGCGAGATTAACAGCTTCAACAAAAAATTCGTTTGCGGTAGGTTTATAAACATGACTAAAAGTTAGAGTTGCGTTATTAAAATATGCCAAAACATTAACAATTTTTTCACAAGTGTCGATGTCAGCCGGGTTTATAATATAGTTACAAGTTTGTCTTAAAAAAGCTGGAAAATGATCTTTATATCTAACAAGTACTTGAATTAAATTATAAGTACTATTCCAACGAATAGACAAATCTTTAGGAAAAGCACAATAATTCACGCGTCTATCCTTCAAATATTGCCGCCATTGCATTTTTAGTGGAGTGTTAGCCCAAATCAATTTAATTCCCCCCTTCACTACCTCCAAAGCATTTCCTAATGCCGCTAAGCCATCTTGTACACACAAATTTAGAATATGACATGCACAACGTTGATGAAAAAATCTACCCATCAATGTAGAAGCACCACACAATTCACGTAATCTAGGTATAGCAGCAGTATTATTACTAGCATTATCAAAACCTACAGCAAACACCTTATCAATCAAAATATACTCAATTAAAATACGTTCAATGAGAATATAAATATTATCAGCAGTGTGACGATCATTGAATTCACGAAAAGCAAGAACACATTTATGCATATTCCAATCATCATCAATATAATGTGCAGTTAGACCCAAATAATATAAATGATGATAAGTATCCTCCCATATATCGCTACAAATACTAACACGTCCATCAAAGTTTGCGAAAAATATTTGTAATTTTTCTTTTTCCAAGTTATATTGCCTTATAACTTCTTTTTTAATCGTTTTGCGACTATAATTTCTAAATTGAGGATTTAAAGTACCTTGAGCATAATCTCTTAAAGCAAGACTTTCGGAAAAAATAAAGGGTAAATTTTCTTCAACAATTAAATGAGACATACCAGTCAAATGTTTTTTATCATCATAGGAAAAATTACCAAAGGGTTGAGAATTTGCAAACCTTGATATTTGTGTTTGCTTCCCCTTTCCTTTGTCTATTTTCGCATACTCCACAACGTGGGTGGACTGAAGATGTCTTTTGAGACTCCCGTATCCGCCAGAAATTCCCAAGCTAAACTCTTTCTTGCAATGATTGCAACTTGCGTACCATTTTTCGGTTTTTTCGTCTTTCCTTTTTGTAAAATTGTTTTCAATAATTTTAGATTTAGATTTAGATTTCTTACCAATTTTGGTTGTAGTCATTGAAGGGCCCTCGTCCACTTCCTCATCATCCGGAGTCCCGTCGTCCCCCGCGTCCTCCTCCCCATCGTCATCCTCTTCCTCGAGCTCCTCTTCATCGATGGTTGTCGGGAATTGTTGTTCTTGTGCAAAACGTGGATCATTTTGGGACAATAGGTGTTGTAGTTCCTCGTCGGACATCATCATACCATCTCGCCGTTGGTAATCCGTTTCAAAATCATCTCGACTTTGAAAAGAAGACTCGGCCCGCGCTTTACCTTTGCCTTTGCGTGAAGTAGATCGAGTCGATGCAATCTCCCTCTTGCGGTTGCGTTGGAGATTACCCACATCTACAGAATGTCTACCTCGCTCCATATTTAAAATTGAACAAATATTAGCACTTAACTAATATGAGAAATGTAAAAATTAACTATTTTTGTTATTTTAATGAGATATGTAGCAATTAACTAATATGAGAAATGTAAAAATTAACTAGTTTTTTTTACTTTAATGAGATATGTAGCAATTAACTAATATGAGAAATGTAAAATTGTAGCAATTAACTAATTAACTAATATGAGAAATGTAAAAATGTAGCAATTAACTAATTAACTAATATGAGAAATGCACAAATGTAGCAATTAACTAATATGAGAAATGTAAAAATGTAGCAATTAACTAATTAACTAATATGAGAAATGTACAAATGTAGCAATTAACTAATATGAGAAATGTAAAAATATAGCAATTAACTAATTAACTAATATGAGAAATGTAAAAATGTAGCAATTAACTAATTAACTAATATGAGAAATGTAAAAATGTAGCAATTAACTTTAACTACTTTAACTAATATTAATATGAAAAATGAAACAATTAAGTAATTAAATAGATAAACGAGAAGTGTATATATAAATCAAATGTATAACTATATATAGTATATATAAATATATAATGTGTAAATATATTATAAGTAATATATAATATAATGTATAACTATATTCTAAGTAATATATAATATAATGTATAACTATATATAGTATATATAAATATATAATGTGTAAATATATTATAAGTAATATATAATATATATGTATAACAATATATAGTATATAATATAATGCGTAAAGAATTATAATATGAATGTGTATAAGTATATATTTATAAGTAGATAATTAATATTATAATGTATAAGTAGATATAATAATTATATAAATTATATATATGTAGAAAGAATTTGGAGAAGATGAAGAATGAAGATGATTGAATATGAGAGATTAAGAGAATAGAGAATTTAGATTTTAGAGAGTAGAAAGAGTTGTAGGTGTAAAAAATGTATAGAAAATAGGAGTATAAATAGGTTTTTTTTTGTATACCCCACCCCCACCCCCCCTAACCCCCCAGACCCCCCCTCCTATGCTCCCAACGGCTAGTAGAGCCTTCAAATTTTTTTTTTTTTTTTTTTTTTTGTGACCGTTGAGGCCCGGCCGGGCCGGTTCACCAAATTTTAAGCCCGGGCCCGAACCGCTACATGACCGGGCCGGGTGGCCCGAACCGTGACCTAACCGACA